AATTGTACCAGTATTTACCAGACGCTGTAGCTGAAGGTTATCTTATATATGCTAGCATATTTTACCATAGTTAACTCGGTAAATGATACACGCAGACAGTCATTGCAGCTGAATAAACTTTGTTGACCAAGTTACAATACGCTCCTATATGGTTCTGTATTGAATCACATCTGTCGTGTCGTATTTGTCGTTGGCTAGGCTCGCCTTCGGGTGTGTGATATCGTGGTTTATCGGACGGATCTTTCCAAACAGTGTCCCTTTGAAGAGTAGAATTTAGATCTTCTTGTTGGCACAAATTCATTACATAAGCTAAACGCTTCTTGATCTTGCTCAAGTTCAAACGAATTTGACTATACTTTAAGGCGATTACAAACATAACCTAACCGTCTCACATTTATGAGTAACTATTGTTAAGAAGGCGGTTAGGGAAAGAAATGAATGATCTTATATGTAAGGCTAATAGGAATATCAATTAGCTCAGCTGGGTGCTTGTCGCGCGGGCATCTCTTGCTTTTGTTGGTTTTTACCGTTGCACATATCGGTAAAAGAGCGATAGCTGTGTGATACGATGTGGTAATTAATAGGATTCAATTTAGCCACCGACAAGGATATCCGTTATTGGTTCTTACGACGCAGTTTGCTGCGTGGGCATCGCGTGCCATTAAACACATTGACTGAAAACGTTACCACCCTGGACAGATCCTGTTTCCTCCCCAAACCTATGCGACGTTAGAAAACAATCAATAGAACCTGAATTGCTCCCGACACGCTGAAAGGAGCCGATAGGCCACCGAAATGTCGGTTGTCCTGCCTCAAGTGACCTTATCGCGCGAATTAAATAAAGCAAATTTTCATGCATAGTATAGTTATAAAATAGTTCTAACTGTCGTATGGAAAATAGCTTTAGACATTCCGTTTTCACAAATAGCATCGAGTACTATATACCAGGAGAAGATCGTTAGCCGTTCGAGGTGTAATGATGCGCAAATAGCGAGCTGAAGGCTATTTTTATAGAGACTCTGATGAATCTCTGCTTCGCTTCTGTTGAGGCGAACCTTTTAATTTCAAAGACACTTTGTTTAATAATAATTTGCAATTCGTTAGCGCCGGATCCACATAAAAAATCCCATGACTTTTGCGACGCCTGAGGAGCGAGGTGTTGACGTTTCCTTTTTTCTTGCTTAATTTTATATCGGTATCGAAAATTGAGCTCATCTTAAATATACACTATTTATTCATTGGCCCAACGAACGTTCACTGCTTCATAATCAGGCGTGACTTCAGAATGACAGTCAAATAAAGCTTTATCAGTACCTAGTTAATTTGTTGCATACGAAGGTTTGACGCAAAACGAACGGTGTGCTCCCGCCAGGTTTCACCCCGCCGTGCTAAGTGCTGCTTACAAACGTAAACAAATACGCTACCATCACGCGAGTCCGACAGTGCAATATATGCACCTGTGATTTTACTTGATGCCGCCATACTTTCCCAAAGGGTGCATTTATGTAATATCGAATGCGGTGCCATCTTCGAAGAGAACCTTAGGACACTTAGGAAAGCGATCGCTTTAGATATCGTCAAAGTCTTGTAAATCGGTGGCAATCATAGTGTAGACAAAGAGCGACGTATGTTATCGCGGCCTTTCGGTGAAATTACTATACCTAAATAATGAGCTCAAACGATACTTTCCGCTTTCTGTGATTCATGAGCGCAGTAGGTAATAGATATGTGTCGTATTTCTGACGGTACGGCTAACCGAAATCCGTTTCCGTTGTATCGTCCTACCTTGTTTTATCTCGGCACGCTCTCGCTTAAGCACTACAATACAAAAATACGTCTAGCCAGTTGGATACGAGGGGTCGAACCAAGACGGCTTCCCTCACTAGCGGCCATCCCCAATCAATCAGCAACGTCTTGTTTTCTCTTAGAAAACTTTGTTTGGAAAATTTTTTGATGTATTATTATTCGAAGAATATGGACAGATAGATGTGCCAATGTTGAAAACATTATTGCAGAAAGTTCCATTACAGAGCACAGGCGTCGCTAATTTTTCTTATAATCAGTAATTCCTTTCCAAGTCTATGCAGCGAGAAGCATCACAAAGACTTACTATATTTTACAATTCTATTACGACAAAGGCACAAATGCTACCCAGACCCACATAAAAATCCGACTGTTTATGGTCAAGGTGCGTTAGCGGAGGACATAGCCCAAAAATGGTTCTGTCGCCTTCGTTTCGATGTAAAAGGCGCTCCTCCTGTGGTGGTCTTGTTATTATGAAGAAAGTCGATGCCACTGTTGCCAAGATTGAGCAACACCGGCACGTGAGTAGTCACGACATCTTCAATAAACGTAGCATCCATCAGCAACTAGTTAAGAACCATTTAAAGAAATCTGGCCATAAAGAGAACCCCGGCATTTTGGCGTCACAAAAATTTAAATATAAGAATTTACTAGACCGTATTCACATCTGCGACACTCTACACAGGGGCAACGGGATCAAACCATTTCTGGGGCTCTTCCTCATAGATGATCGAAGCTGGACTATATACAATAATGATGTGCACGTAAAGCTGTGCTTCACAATCTGTGACTAGGCCCAGATTGACGTTGAAGAAGATGATGCTGTGCGATCGATTGGATTGGAAGAAAGTCGTGCACTGTGAGACCCCTACTGTCAACAACTGAAAACACACAACAACAAAAAACCATTAGCAAAAATCGATTGGAACTAGTGAACACGAACGGCGTCGTTTTCCCTCACGACAATGCCAGACGAATCGGCAAAAATTAAGGGAACTTTAATCAGAACCCTTAAACCATACGTCGTATGGTATAAATTTGACACCATCAGATTTTCATCTGTTTCGGTCTCTGAAAAAACTCCTTTAGTGGTTAATCTAATTTCAGCGGAGCGATGCAAAGATCCTCTATGGCAATTTTTCGTCCAGAAATCATAGGAGCTCTGCAGCGATGCTCTATTGTGGTCTTAGCAAAAAAAAAGGGCAAAAGGTCATCAAGCAAAATGGTGCTGGTTTAATGGAGTAACACTATGTTAGAATATAAGATGTATTTAGATGCCCCGACCTAATAACCTCAACGAAGCTATACCTAACCTGGGCAAGAAGTCTTTGCATTAACCATCTCATGCTACACGCTATACCCATATTGTAAATCCATACCCCAAATAAACCCATACTTCTCGAACATCGTAATGACCATATCGTGCATAATTCTAATGTAAAGCTTTGATCAAATCATCATCGTCGTCGCCTTGGGTGAATTGTATAAGCGTACGAGATACGCAATACATAATTAGATGACAACAACAGCAACGACACTTATAAAAACTAAGCCATACGGACTAACTACCGTTCGGTAGTATTAACTATAGAAAAAAAACCATATCAGTTGCCAACAAGTGTCATATAGCGGATTACTCGTACTATGGTAACAGCATTTGCATCATTATCGGGGCCGTTACATCGAGTAGAGAGACACCCACCGTTGCTGTTACTACGCGCGGCGGCGTTGGATATTATCACAACAGTTACGTCCATCGGAATGATCAACATTTCGTTTATTTTCGTCATTGGACAAAAAAGTGATGAAACAAATAAATATACTGGCGTATCAGCGAGCAAGCATCGAACCGTAGGTATCAGGTGCAGCGCTAGGGGGTGCAGGAGCATCAGCTGTTGCCGTCATAATACTCAGTTTCAGCGTTTTAGGCACTGCTCGTATAGAAGTAAAAATGTATGTTGACGGTCGGCTTGTGACGGCTACTCGCTAAATGGGTCGTTCATGGATCTGTAAATCAATGGCGAGCGTCGAGCGGGAACCGCCGCTATTTAGGTTATTTGTCTTAATTTCAAGACATCCGTCCCCTCATTCCCCCATACAGACACCGTCTACCACGACAGTGCGGTGTGCATGCAGGCCATATTGACCGCGCGTGGTTCACAAATATTGAGGGTTGCCTAACACGGCCCTCGAACAACTGGCGATCAAACGCTTAGAGCTGGCAGAAATAACGGTAATGAAATTACTGGTGAGCGGTGACTAAACTTCTTCAAGGTATAACTTTATTCAGTATACCTGTAGTGGTCTATAAACGAGTAATGGTTAGTACACGTTTGATAGCGTTGTCTAGAGACGTAGAACGAGCAATCTAGGGTGAATATTATAGGAAAAGTTAGCTACAAACCTCCGAGCGATGTACTTGTTTCACTCAAGACTTAGGACAAAATCAGTAGTTTCATGTCACTAGTCGATGTCTTATGTCTGCCCCCTATATGGGGTGCATGTGCATACAGAGGACGTCAAGCACGAGCGCGGCAGGTTCATAAGATAATTGAATTAAAATGCAGAAATGACAATCTCATGTAGCATTCGTGCTTCTTACTGTTAACTTAATAAGATCTATGCTAGCCACTATATGGCTATAAACGCCACTCGTAAATCTATAAAATGTAGAGTAAAGGAGACATCAAATGCTACGACATCGGCCTACTTGCGACGTAATGAGTAACGCTATATATATGCAAAATAGAGGTCGTTAGCTTTTGTTTGTAGAGCAAAAACTGGTGTCACAGCGGTCAACAGGTCTTGTCTTGTGGATTTCTAAATGTTGTTCAAAAACTAAATTTTCATATTAAAAATTTTAAAAAAGTCATTAGCTTCCGTTTCAATAAGTAAGTGAACCATTATTTTAAGATAAATGCTCCGATGGACCTTTACTTTCCTTAATACCAGTGCGAATATCGCTTCGAGGAACCCCTACCTCCTAGCAGTAATTCGAAATTTTCTACATATATGCATCTCATCTTCCTGATGACAAGGATTTAGGTAGATCTATTTTCATCTAACTGCAATCCCACAAATGTCACATAAAGCAATCATGACCAGTAATGCTGCTATATATATATATATACGAACGGCGCAATTTTTTACGAAGACCCCTTATCTAACCGATCCTCCTGTATCTTTGATTATTTCAGCTTGTTTTTGTTGCTTCGGCTGTTGTCATCGTTTTCTCCCTCTTATAAAATAGTCCGTTCAGTTCAAGCACATTGCGGACCCCCGAATACGCCCTGGGGGAAGTTTCCGCTAATGTGCTAATCGACCGACAAATCAAATAGCAGCCTACAATGCAAAAACAACCATTCCATTAAGCTTATCGAGATGGTAAGTATCAACAGGAATTGCACAGAACGGGGGAAGAAAGACAATACGCAGAATATGACGAAGATGATTAGAATCGGGGATACCAAACACTTGCCCATAGACCGACGGCCAGCGTCAAATAAGCACTGACTGCCAAACTGCAGATATTTCCAAGAGGTCATCTAGTATCGCGTTGTCAATCATGTTATGCATGATTAAATCATGCTATGAATGACGGACGTATTCGGTGAAGGGCACAATTGCACGATGACACCTTAAGAGTTATGCTCGTATATGAAATAAAGGGAAATATCGCAGCGCACGTATCTGTAAGTGCTTGATACATACAGATACGATGACGCTGATTGGATGTTGTAGTAAATAGAAGTATTTAATTAAAAATGATACCGACTTCAAGAGGGAGCAATCTATTTAGGGCTATTTTCAGCCTGTAGTTAGTATAGGGCTAGCCATCCTATCGATTGAAATCGATTTATCGCTTACGTCTTTTGACGAATTTCTCGATTTCTGTATTTATCTGAGTGATCCGCAGAAATGGTTAAAATCGGAAACTGACAAATGGCCGAAATCCATTCCAAACAAGTGCCGCAACACTCGATCTGGATCTTTCGTAGCAGTGCTATGTCCAAATCATGTCAGCATGCTCCTGTGTTAAACCGTAACGCGTGTATTTCGGGTGTTCGACCGTTGGATTACATGATGACTGTAACAGGCACCTTATGGCCTGCAAAATGATGTTTACTTCAGCTGAAACAAGGTATCACTTTCTATATGGAACCAATCTAAATTGGGCCAAGAGTCTTTGGATAGCTAACCGGTTGGGGTTGTACAGAGACTTTCGGCCTATCCCGTATCAAGATTCTACCAACATATACTGTGAGCCAGCTGCTTGGCTGTGATTGTAGCGGATACCGTAGAAATATAAGGTACATACTCTATAAATCAACTTATTCCAGCTTTTTCTTGCAACTTTTAACTTGAGCTAATGCCACATTGTGACACCGCATGAGATGTTATACGCAAACATGAACGCTTGAAGTCTCTTTTGGCAGACACATGAAACGAAAAGGTAAATCACAAATAACTAACAATGAGAGGGTCTGCCAACCACAATTCTTTCATTTGGCTAATTATTATCGATGTTATTTTATTGATTACTGGCGTTTCCGGTAGCACCGGTAACGAGATTAGTATCGTAGATGTATAGATCCCGAACTATACATCTACTACAAAACGTACTTCTTCAAAGAGACGCTTTGTTCAGTTAGAAGGTGGGGGCTACTAGTCAGTTACATATGTATTTGAAAGATACTGTTTCTGTACTTGTGTTTGTTCCTATGTTCGTGTACATAAATATCCGACGCAGTATCAGAGGCGAAGTAATGTATCCCGCAGAAACAAATAACAATCGTTAAGCTGACATGTGATGAAGATCAGGTGCACGGAACGTGATAGGCCCATACGGAGGATCTTAGGCAAAACATCTATACGTATGTGGTAGCAGTGGATGATACAATGTATTGTTAAACTGGTCTATCACTTACAATCTTCGAAGCTAACCAAGAAGCTTGGCTAATAGCGAGTAATAGCGTGGCGTTATAATTACCATATATATTCGTATGTCCTATTAGGGCAACGTTATTTTGTTTCGAGCTGCATGTACCGTTAGCGTTAAAGTTATTCCAAGGAAACAGTGAAGTTAATAAATCAGCTAGCTGTCCTATCAACGAAACGTGTTCCGTCGATACAAACAAAATACGACGCTGTGATCTGTTTCATAGAATCTGCTGTCATCATCATCGTCCGTTATCACTAGCAATAGATAAACAATCGATGATAAAGCTTCAATGGGACCGTGGGACCTCGGCATTTATTTTGGCATTAAAAGTCGACATTTACCGTAAAATACTAACTAAATAAATAGCACTTCATGTAACGGTGTGATAAGTATACTACTTTGATTGAAAAAGCTTATTTTTATTATCAAGTTCAGTTGGTTGATTAAAAATTACTCATTATAATAATAATAATAAGAATAATCAATTGCAGCCTCGAAATAAAAGTGTCTAACAACTTTCCCCTATAGCCGAACACTACATAACGCAAAATCATTATTTGTGTGCCTGTTCATAGCATCCAAACACCAATAAAGTCAGCAAAAACTGAAATAAATCTAAACTGTGGAAGGTAATAGTCTGTTTTTGGTACTCTCGAGTATCTAGCTAGAGCTCAAGAAATAACAAGCTTTTAGCCGGGCTATCAGTTGGTATCATACAGGTACCCGAGGTATCAATTGTTAAATACAATGCGTATGTGATACTGATAATAAAGAAACGATACATATTCTAAAAGGTACCGGGTATTTCTAACAAAAACGCATTCGATTTAATCTGCTGAACGGGGTTCAGTCTGACGATACCAACCAGCTCGGCTCGTCCCCATTTTCCCATAGATGCGTCGAAATCAGTACGGCCATCGGCGATTTTTTATTCTCGGGAGGGGCAATTGCTTGACCACTGCTATTGCCAGACATATGAAGAAGCTCAAGCAAAGCTTGTTTTCAATTTTTTTTTAAATCCTATTATTCGAGAATCTCTGTCACTGAAGTAGTCGTTGTTAATTGAAAACATCAGCTCCTTTCGAAGGCATATCTCACTCTTCTGTCGTTAGCCTCAGTCCGTGATTTGCTTGTTACGGTACCAACTTGACACAAATATCTTCTTTTTTTTTTGCTATAATGGAAAAATTCTAAGAAATTTTATCTCAAAGCAAACGAGAGGCACGTTCAATGATGAATTGAAATTCTTCATTATTTTACCCATAACGTCTTGAGCCTTTTAAACAAGCATTGGTACATTGATAAAAGCAAATCTTCATTTTTATGTGCATAGCCAACGTTTTCAATCGAAGCAGAATTCTCTACATCGCCATTGATGTTCTATCTGCTAAGTTAATTGTTCCCAACTTCAACCTTTACCACTTTAATTTATCGAGTCGGACATTTACTTACCTATTGAAAAGTGACCTGCGGCTCTGAAGTACCTTGTATAGTGCGAAACTATGATCAACACCCCAGCTTAGTCAATACTAAGCAAGCATAAAAGTGACATATAACCGTAATACATATAAAAGCAATTATTTACAGCCATAGATTATTGACAAAAACTTTGATATGGTACTATGACAATAGAGTAATCCGTATTGGCATTGCCAGCGTCATAAACAAGCATCTATAGCAAAATACTACAGACGACATATAAGCTTAATAGACAAGCTCACGTATAGGACAACAAAGGCCGGGTTCAACATTGAATCGGACATATTACATACGACAAAATACCAATGTATAGCGTGAACTTTTCCCTGCACCTTGATCATGCGCATGTTGCTGATTAATGTTCTCATTGCTATATATATATATATATATATATGATCATTTATAGCATGCGTTCTTTTATACAAAGTATTGTATTGAACAAATCAAATAATATTGATAATAAATCTGAGTTCCTGATTGCACATGATCCAGGTCGATTGGTTCCCGTTTAAGCTGAGACATTTTAGCTCATGCTATTTAAAAAGAATGTTAGGTAGCTTTTGGGTGTCGTAGGTGGTAGTACTATGCCGAAGAGGTCTGGGTCCGTTATCATACGTTGTATACGCACCCCTTGCACCGGTAAGGACTTTGTGATAATGGTCATATATAAAAGTAAGGTAAACCAGAACTTGACTGGCCATTAATTCTATCTTCTATTGATTCGCAGATATAGAAAAAATCATTGACATCTTTATACTTGAACTTACCGTGAGGCATGGAAAATAAACAATCCAAGCAACTCATGTTTAATTCTATAAGCATCCAAATGGCTTTGTTCACACAAATAGGTAAACCGTAGTTCCAGTGATTCCTTCATATCAGCTGTACATCGTATCTGAGTCACATTCGTTTATTTGGCTTCTTTAAAGTATCTGAATGTTTCACCTCACCAGTATCACAGCATTGATTTATAGAAGATCTAAGTTTTGTTAGCCAGCCAGTAATCTAGGCCTATTCAATGGAACTAGGGAAACGAGTTCCTACTTGTGGAGTAGATGATGAATCGAAAGGCGCCCTACACCACCTCGCATTTAACACACAGCCAAAGATCAAAGACCCACAAAGCGAGGCTGCAAATGAGCCCAAATCACTTATCCAACGACTAATCGTATAAAACGTCCCCAGCACAAGTATTTTCTCGTCTACTTTCTCCCATCATTATTTATTTTCCTCACACCTTTACTTGGCTAGAAGATTGTTTACAACATTTATCGGCCGATCGATTTGCCATTTTAGCTTTTTTTTATGCTGCCGGCAGCGACATGGAATAGTTCGTCGCTTTCCAGTTTCAGATATTCAGGGGCAGTGATTCGCGCCTCATGGGTGTCAAGTACCCGCGCGACTGCTTCCTCACACTGAGCCACAGAACGGGCCGATTGCTTATGGCATCCGGGGGAATCGTTCGCTACATGTAAAGAACCATAGCCATTGATTATTCTGTTTGCAGCTTGTTCGTAAGGTGGGCAAATCTCGCGATCCGTTGACATAAACGCGCATAACCACAACAGTGCCTCCACCGAATTAGTACACAATATCAAGAGGCCGGCAGCGGCAATGTCGTCTGCAATGTCCTCAGCAGTGTGAGCTGATGTCAATAGAGTCAGACGATGCACGCTCAACAGCCGTTGCGTTTCGCGATTACGCGATCGGAATCCTTGATCAGTAAATTGTAAATTACGGGTCGATTTCCGGTTCTTATGCGTTGAGCGTTACTGCGAATATTCTAATGCTTAGCTAAGACATACGTATTAGGGACTGTAGGACTGCTGGGTTTGTGGGTGCCTGCGCGTAACCTGGGTAGTTCTTTTGATTTGTACCCATTTTGATCTGATGTTACGGTTTTTCGTATCGGGCAATGAGATCAGCGGCGACGTTGCGACAAATGAATTTAGACTACTAGTTGTTCTGGTCTTCCGGTATCGTAACACAGCTAACTCGGAGTATTAAGTGGGAAATTTCCCGTACCGTAAAATTATGAAATCTCGTAAAGAGATTGCTGCCGAACTACTGATGAATACATACCCTAGACTACGCGGAACGTAAGATCAATGCTAGGAGTCCCTTATTAGTTACCAAATCAAATAGGAAGAACATATCTGCAACATTTTTTTAACTGTCTGGGAAGAATCATATCTAAATGTATTCTGCTGTTTACCAGGCCATAAATTAAGGCTTAGCATAAAGTCGTCCTTCAGAAATTGCGAACAGTAGCCCCAGTGTCGAAAACAAGCTTTCTCACATGGTATTATCTCGACTGATGAAGCAATTTAATAACATAAGCCCACCATTCTTTCGACCTAAACGGAATAAAATCTCATAGGTCATCTCTAGGTCTGCCTAGACTGCGCGTCAGCTACTGCCAAGGTCAAGTTGAAGCTATTTCCACTGTGCGAATCAATAGAATAATTCGACGTTGCAACTTACGTAAAACTTTAGTTGATAGATCGTAAATTTGATTTCGAAGATTATAAAATATTCAGCGGTGGAAAATGGCCCCAGAGGTGAAAGTCCTGGCCTAGTTAAGGCTCAACGATGTAGGGACGTTTTATTTTGCATACATAGGCCTGGTTCGTTTGTCTATCGTACACGTTCTCATAATTAGTAATTAACAAAACATGATTTTAGCCATCAGTACGTAGCGTGTGGTGGTAAGAGCTTTGATGTAATGGTAAGAAGTAACTTTACTATAGATGCTAAAGGTTCAATAGGCCTAACGAAGTGGTTGCGTGTGCACCTTTTGAACGCGTATGGCGACTATTGTACATGGTTCAGCTTCCTGATACCCATAGATTCATCAAGATACCATGATGTCAACAAATGTTACCTTTACTAGCACTTTTGCATAAATTATCGTCCAAATTCATTCAGCACATGGATCTACGCCGTGTAGCAGTACAGTATGGTCAGCGTTTGGATAGCGCTGAGAAATGCCGCTCGCTGAAATCCTGCTTCTATCGACATACACAAATCGTATATAATCTGACTAGTTTTCCTTCAACTCCACTTTCCAATGTGAACTTTAGATTTTTAAGCAATTTCCTATGAGTGTTCTAAAGGAGAGAACCGTCCTATTATCGATTGTCTGTGTAATCGGGGTGAAACGTAAACACGTACAATGGGTCGACACAGGACCAAACACCGGCATTTCTTGGGCTGATCATTGGGTTGTTATGGGTTCTAAAAAAATATTCAACAACCGCCCGCAGTCTCCCATCCTACGAACCATGCTACAAGAAGCATCAAATCAGTTATCGCCCAACATCGTGGACCATGTTCTTGTAGCTCGGCAACATCAAATAAGTCTGTTGAGGAACTTTAACTTGACAATTATATAGAAAATAATACGATGATTTTCTGAATTAGTCTTCCTGTTTAGAGCAAGGGAATGTCTAGATCAACTTTGATGTTGCCTGAACATCCACATCTTTGTGCCGATAGTCATAAACAAGTTGTTTGGATTTATAGCTGCCACAAGTATCAGACATGAATTTATGGGACGCTTTGTTTACGATTTCAAAGTCATGCAAATTTTTTACCTCTTAATTAAATTAGCTCAAAAATAGATCGTTCACACCCAAGGCACTCCGTGTTGCGCGTATCGAAAAACATTGGGTAATCCATAATATATATATGATAAGCTACGACGACTTTCTGCATTTATGACAAAAATTTATAATCACGACCGGGGCAATGGCGCGGCATGCTATGAATACGAAGTTTGATTTTTGGCTTGTTTTTTAGCTGAAAATCCGCTTCGAGGCTGGTTATTTATAATTTGCTAGTCTTTAGTCATGCGGCTTCTGCATGCCATCGTTTAGCGGGCCCCTGCCGTGCGCTTCGCTAAATCCCGAGATTTGGTAAGCTTATTGAGAAATAAAATATGCCAAACACTAGGCAACAACATTTGTCTGTCCAGACCCCCCTCCGCACGATGCCCACTCACAGCGGCCTTTCTTTTTTTTCTGCTATAATCAGCAATAAAAATGCGCAAATGTTGTGTGTCGACTTCATTTATTTATTTTATTATTATCTTTATTTTTTTTTTTAATCTATTTCGACGACGAAGACGTCTTCGCTTGTTGCTTTCCTATTATCGACTACATAGAACATACGCTGAGCAATTTTCGACAGCGGTCACTAGAAACGCTCGTCGCTTTAATTCAGGCACACTTTTTCCATTCTCTCAATCATCTCTTTATTTACTTCTTTTTCATTTCGTTCGCGGGACCGTTTCGCCTCCAACAAAACAGTGATGACATATAGATACGCCTATATCTGGCACCGGCTATACTGCATACATCGTCATCACTACTAAGATCATTGTTTATTTTATTGCTATTATTATACAATCACTGAAACCATTACAGTCATACCATAGTGCACTAATTTGCGGACATGCTTGTGTGCATGCCCCATATATATATATATATATAGAGTTTCTCTGTCTGTATTCTGTGTAAGCAGGTTATCTATCGTGGAATATGATAAAACGGACGTGTTCAGGTCGTGGCAGTAACCGTACATGGCTAGGCCTTATATTTTGCCGGACTAAGGTTTCGTCATTACCTCCTTCATGCCTACAGGTCGATGCTACTGCTGTTATGATAATATTGGTTCGTTTGATGCCTGTTAAATCTCAATCTATCGACTGATGACGACGGTGAGGCGGTTGAGAATCGATCTCCGTGGGTCCGACTGTTTGTTGACTATGTTTACGTTGCTCGAACGTGTTGTCATTATGTGACTTGAGACACTTGGATTCAAAGTTTTTTTGTTCTGCTGGCGACAGGCGCACTTTGATTCGTTGCGGTAGACCATGAAGATGCCGTTAGTGCCGTCCATGCCGCCGTTATCGTTGTGGTTGTCGCTACTATTACAGTTACTCCTGTTGTGTTGATATTAGCGAAAGTTAATATCAAGGGTGACGTTCCAAACGGTTCAAGCTGCAGGTGTAGGGCGATATTTTCTTATAACAGGTGCAATTGCCGGCCGGTAAAGTTAACACAGAGAACGCGATGCTGCTAATGGTTGTCGTTTTGTCGTAGACCTCGTTTTCGTCGATGTCGTGGCCGCTGGCACGCGATTGAACGGCCGAGCATGGCCAGCTGCTGGCTGTTGACCGGATTATCCGCTGTACGACTGCTATGACGCGTCGATTCGAACGCTTTCCAACAGTACTGCTTGTCGCTTGCCATTTTTCCCAATCCAGTCTTTCGCACTTCAGCTACGTCCCTTCCATTGGCAACTTAGCTTATCATCTTGTCACTTGCTTCAAGCTTTTTTTAAAGTTATCAGACGTCAAAATATCACTCGCTAATTGACGACGACGGAGGCGCCCTCTCACCTACACATCTATCCCACGTTCATCTTCGCTTGTATAACCCTTTCACTATAGCGATGGCAGCCGTTGATTCTGGTTTGATCGTTCGGTCGTTGGCCTTTAGTCCTTCGTTGACTGCGTTCCTGTCCTACTCATTTCAAAACAAAGGTTGCAGGCGGTCGGGTTAGCGGACGAGTCGACATTGTCCTAATCGTCCTAATTTGGGCAAAACAAACGCATTTGCATTGAGCCGTACTGCGGTGGCCGATCGATTTTCGGCTGGCACGTGCGTACTGCCTCTTCTATACACGCATTCAAATGTAAACACACTCGCAAGCATTAACCTTGTGTTATTTTGGTACTCGTCTGGCGCTAGGACCACCATTATTGCTATAGGTAGGAATGGTTCCGCGTCTGAAAGGTCGTACCAGCAACTGCTTCGTTCGTAGTTACCGCAGTAGGACCGTCGTTTCGGGCGATACTCCTTGTGGGTGGTGCAAGCGACGATATTGTCCTGTTCGTCGATTCCACCCGAAGATCATCGTCCATTGTCGTGTCCGGATGTTTCATGCTCCGCGAGTTCAGCCCGGCGAAATGTTGTTCTCTGCGGAGTCGAGATCTAGGCTTCTTGAACAGATCCCCACCAAGGATCATACGTTCGATTACGGCTAATGGCGCTTCGCAGAACAGGTACAGAATGTAAGCGCATAGGAACGAGGCCATTGTGACAGCGAAATAGTTCATCATTTTAGTGAGATGATTGTACGCGATACGCTCTTCCTGCATCATCAGCTGAGTGAGCAGGATGACTACGTGCGAAAGGAAAGCGCCGTATGAAAGTCTACTTAATGGTACCAGCGCCCGCCAGGACAAAATGTCGTTAGCAACTCCCGCACGACCTGTGGCGCATGCAAAGGCTACCCAGGCAACCCCAAGTGACCAGGCCAGACGATGGAAGACCGCATACAGGATGCACTCCGCACTGCTGAAGTCGACGTAATCCACCGAAAACCAATCGTGTGGTTTGAGCAGAACCGTAAGATTTAAGCACGCCGCAACCATCCAGCAAACAATCACCGTCAGCTTTTGCATGCGAATCTTAGGCTGTTTATAAATGAGGTAACCGAGTACGATTCCAACATTGAATGAACCAACATGCGCCCAAGGCCGGAATTGAACAAGATTCGTTGTGTTAACGGTGCTATCTATATTGGTCGATGTGAATACGACAGTTGGTTGAAGACCCAAGCTAACGGTGGTATAGGCAATGTAAAGGATTGTGCTTATTGTCGAAATGACAGCAATAAGCACACCATGTTTAGGGCTTCGTAACATGATGATAGGTATGATAATTAGTAGGCCGTAAAGTTGATAATCGATGTCGATGTACCACAAGTGGCCAAGGCACATGTCGAAAAAGGGCACGAAGTTGTTTGTATGCAATAGGACTCGCCACCAGTTTTTCTCGCAGGATTCAAGAAACCGGGCTTTGTAATCATTCATGATGGCGCCGTCGCCCAATAGTGGGACAAGAAGCCAGATCCCAACGATCAGCATCGCTGGAACAGTAAGTCGAATGTAACGACGTAGCAGAATCAGTGGTACAATAAACCACATATTCTTGCAGTTCTGCAAACTTCTCTGCACGTTGTAACTCATCAGGAAGGCACTGACAAACAAAAAGGTCTCGACCGATGGAAACGCGTTTGCGATAACTGTGGTGAAGACACTATCAACGAGGCTGATGACGTTGGATAATGAGGTTGTTCCTGTGGGATCAGCGATGAGATAGGTATGCCCAAGAATGACCCAAGCTGAACTGAAGAACCTCATTCCATGGATGAACATTAGTTTCTGATCACTGATGTTTCGTGGCTCGGTGTGTAAAAGCTTTTCGGTGTTAGTCACAATTGACATGCCAAGTAATATTTCTATCAGTTTGGCGAATATGTCTGAGTTCTTTTCCAATTTCGAGACGGCGTCATCCTGTTTGGGATTACGCGTAAAACGACAAACGACGTCGAATACTGTCGCAGACCCTACTATAAGGAACAAAATCGAAATAAGCTTGATAACTGCACGTTGGGTCGAATTTGATGTTTTCTCGCCTTTGGCTGTGCATCCTCGAATTGTGACAGTGGCCTCTATTTTTTTTGCCATTATAGTAGCGATATAGCTTATGTCTTCCTTTGAACAAACCGATGGGATACATATTGAATTTCGCATACCCTTGAACATGCTGTTTCCGACATAATTGAGCGGGTCGCGTCTGCCAATCAGCATGCCCACGGCTTGAAACCTATCAAGCACTTTGGGTACGAGGGTGTTATTTGCCATGTTAACGTAGACGGTACAGAAACGACCCGTAAAATCAAGGCTGTCATCGATCCGCTTCCGAGCCACTACCTCAAGGCATTCATGGAAGTTACCAAGGTCTCCGAGGGTACCTCTAATTAATCCCGGAGCAAGTTTGCCAGACGCATCAAACATCTGCATTGCCCACGGTTCCATTTTGCGTAGACCCAACGCAAACTTGACGAGAGCAGCCGAACAATCTGTTGAGATGTTTGGATCAAATCCGAATTGTGTCACCGATGGTAGTGCTCGACGGTAGAATTCATCAAACATCTCGTTCATCATTATCTCCATTGGTCCGGGTACGTTCGAATCGACCGTCGTTGAGTCCTTATTTGTAGTCGTCTCCTGTTCTTTGGAGTGCGTCGTGGAGTCGCTATAATCACTGCCATCTTCACTACTCACAATCACTATCACGCAAGAGGCAACTAGCACTAACGCCGTCAGGCTAATCCAAGGCCGCCGCATTTTGCTCTGTATTTTGTAGGGGATAGATATCCAATAAAGTAATATTTTGTAGACAGATATATATGCTGAATCACCACCACGCAGTGACGAAACTTCTTAATAAAATGTGTTAACCCTCTTAAAAAATCATAAACCCTTCAAAGATGTTTTCACAAAATCGCACCACTTCAACTGTACCGCAGCTTCTATGCGAAAAGCGGACGAAACGAGACGATCGTACTAACCAATACTGATCCGCCAACACAAGAATGCTATCTAGATTTCAAGCCTTTTTAGAGGACTTCACGCTAGCCTTCGTTCAGGAGGCGTCGCTTAACCACGCGTATTTCGATTATGCGTACTCATGTCTGAAGGCGACTCCTGCGACAAAGCGTCAATGAGAGATGCCGGATCGTCCTGTCGAACTCACGTCGTGGTTTAACCCTGGGTCGCCCGTTAGAAAGCCCCGGAAAGGGATCGCCGGCCCTCGCCGCGCCAACAACGCACCAGACAAAGGCTCAAAGACCAGGAGCAGCTAACACAAGCACAGTAATAACAATGGCTGCAGCAGCAACAGCCGCAGAAGTTCAGTCTGCGCTGTCTTCCGACGTTCACCAATTTTCGGGATTTTACGGTTGGAACTATCGTATGACAGTTCCATCACAAATCGCGGCTGGCGCATCCACCGCCGTCAGCGCTACTGCAGTGCTATAAACTAGCGGCGTAAACATCTTTAAGTAAGGTGCCGTCGACGACGCACAAAGCTCAGCGCGCGGATTTCTTGTCGCCAGCGCAATTGGCGTAGTTCTGTTAGGGGGATCGGCATCTGAAACACGCCTCTAATGCGATGGCAGCGCATGTCAACGTGCAGTCTATACATTCGCTCGCGTCTTGTGTGCGATAATTCCAGGTAGGTTACGGCGACTATCTGCTACTAGTATTACCAACACTTCTGCTGTCGCTAGTATATCAACGACACTATGATCGTGCGTAGGTGGGGGCCCATGCCGAAGATGAAAGCGGCAACGGCAATGACAACGTCACCGGGTGAGTTTTCACATCTGCCATCTGCTGGCAAGCATTTTGTTGTCGTTGATAGCGACGCGGCTGATGATGCTGTTGTTATTATTGTTACGTAGATGATGCGTCAGACAGGTGGGCACGCAGGCAGGCAGGCCGGCGGGTATGTACAGGATGTTGTTGTAGGAATAGAGGGATGCACCGGGACGCTGAGATGCCGTCGGCCTACCAGTTCGTCGGCGTTTCAGTTTGTTAATACCTCAGCCTTGCAGGTTGGCCACAAAAGCCGTCGAATGTGACATGGAACGCGTGACTGCCCCTCGATGCTGGTGAAGCCGTCGGGCGTCGATTGGCGTGCCGCCAGTAATGAACGATGTTACGACCAAAAGCAACAGCATCACGCGTCAAAAGGAAAGACTAAGAGCAAAACTCGGCTAACAGAGAAGGCGAAAAGAGAAATCAGGTGATCAAGGTCAAATATTAAGGGGTCCTGTAGTAATTCGTCACACTGTTTTGGAACACCTCGTGATCGAGCGACAGGCAGACGTTGCCTGACAATAAAACTTTGTGACAGCGACAAACAGATAAACATGTGCTGAGAACCTCTAAAACGACTAAATACATTGCCTGGTAGGTTGTATGGAAAAATGGCCGGATCACACTTCGACTGTTACTAAATGAGATAAAGCAATAACACGGCAGTGGCCTCAATGGCACCACAAAGATGAACTATTAGTGGTCACGCTGGTTTTTGATATTGAAAATGAAAGAGCAGTGGCTTCTTATAGAATATAACAAAGTAATTACTGTTCATTACGAAAATTTTCGGAGAAAAATGTGTATTTTGGTGACGGGAAGCCGCCCCGACATCAGCTCACTAACTGAATCATTCATTAGACGTAACTTATCTGGCAAATAAATTTCTTGTAACTATAGCCATTATAATAAATCCATTCACAACCGATATCTTTACGTTTATATATTCTGAAGAATGTGCTTGCTTTTATGTAAGTCATTTATCATTTAAATGATCTTTTGTTATAAACGTTATTATTTGTTTTTTCATTACGTAATAAGAAATTCCATTACGTAAGCAGTCTCATCCATTATGAACTCGAATGATTTTCTAATGAAAAAATAGAGCTATACAGGCAAAGATAATATGACCTTTACTACCCTTTTCAAGTTCTTCTGCTAATTATATAACAAAGAAGTCGAAGCTGCTTAAGCACTGTCTTTCAAGAACGCCTTTTTTTGCCACAAGTTAGTCACTTGGAGCGCACGTACATGCGTTCCCTCTACTGTTTGTATACCGTCTGAGGCACACGATCGTAATGTGGGAATGGTTATGAAGATGGGCAGGTACGCAGTACCTGCCCATCTTCATAACCAGCATTAGCCAAACATTGAATTCACCGACTAGATCGCAGGAAATTGCAAGATCCGTACGATTTGATCTGGTAAATACATAACTGGGTATATTTATCATAGAACAATCTGAGTATGTATGTGTGTGTCTCTGGACAACGTTTTCTTATGCTAATCATCCGGCCCCTTCCTATACTTGCGTAAGATATAATGCCGTGACCCGCGTTGTCTGCATTTCAGTATCGGTGGAAGCCCGCCAGCGCGGCTCAACTCAGCGGTGGTAAAATCTGAAAGCACTGGTGCGTTATTGGCGCGTACCGCTACCGCTACCGCTGCCGCCATTACCAACACCTTCACCAGCAGTGTAAGATTAATTTTGATCAGATGTTTCCCGCGACCGCTCCCCGATTTGCTCAGACTTATTTAGCATAAGTTTACGTATGCCGCGTCAGCGCGGCGCGCAACTGTCTTCCATTACCTTTATCGGTGGGCGGACTTGGACGCCAAGACGAAAAAACTGTGCTTACAAGGCTTAGTTTCATCTAATACTTATGCTCTACAGAACTGCTTGATACATACAGTCACAACATCACGTAGGGCTACAAATTGATGGCGATGGCAACAACCTCGTAGTGAAAAAGGTAATGCTGGTAACAAAAATCAAGCCTGCAATTTATCAGCGTTACTGCTAAGAAACATATTCATCCACAATTAGTGGCATCATTGAATCGAATGAGGTAAATGATAAATTCGGACTTCAACTAGGTATAACGAGTACACATGCTGCGTTGGAAAATGGAGGAGTTACAGATACCTTTTCTTATTATTATTATGAGTACGGTTAATCTTGTCCTTCGTGCGTTCCTTACATATATCGAAGGAAGCTCAGTCTGAAGGCTCGTTGAAGATAGATATCCGTTGAAAAGCTCTTCTACTATGTCGAGTTGTTACGCCACAGAACGATAATCTCTCGATCCATGTGCTTGTATAGAATTAGGTTGCCACTCTGTCTAGCCACATAACCTACTTAACTGCTCTGAATTAATTGTACTATTCCTGCTCTAACGAAAAGTTACAGGTTGAAAATCATCGTTGGCAAAATAAGTCCACAAAGGCAAAGGTATAAACCGCACTGGGTTACCACAGGATTCTTGTTTCATGTTAAATGCTATTGAAAAGATCATTGTACATAACTGATATAGGTTGGCTTCCAACAAAAGCTAACTAGGGGTAAAGTCGATTAACTGTACCTTAAAAGTTTCAGAACGGAACTATTATTATATTATGGTTATTTGTAATGTATTTTCAACTTAAACTTCGGTTGATGATTTGTATCAGTCAAGCCTACCGTTTTGTTTAGTGAAACGCTCCTGAATTGTACGCGATTCGTAGTAGGTGTAATGTGGTACCCGATCTGACTCCGATCTAAAGGTGCAACGCATTTCCAATGTGCTGCAGCTGAAATCGGACCACGTCTACAAAGGCTCAGCTTATTTGTACCGGGGCACGTCAACACGATCTAGATATTATCGATAATATGTTATCCTTCGAGGAACCTACGCCGTGTGATTTACCTGTTTCCAGAAGATAATTATGTAAATATTCATCGATAAATTCATCCCTACCTAGTGAAGCTTTTTCTACTTCAATGCACCGCAACTGATTATGCTCATCGAGTCAAGTTCTGTTGACAACTGCTATTTAAGCAATATAAGCTTACGGCGGATTGCAGATTTTAGCGGCGGGCAGGCCACATTAAAATGCAGCAGAAGGTCCTGTGCTTTATAGAACGCAAGATAAACATGGCCCGAGCACTTAAGGTAAAACGTTAATTATAACGTGCCCCTTAACGCTGTGTTTTAACGGTAAGGACAGACATGTTTGAAATGCTGCTTGGTTAGTTTTCTTGAAGCAAATTGCATATAGCAGATTCCCTTCAAACGTTAAGCCTTCGCCCAGCTTCTAACGATTCGCTGTTTTATCCGAAGCTTTTTAAAAAAAAATTCAGTTGGTGCATTTTTGATCACTTGTAGAAATAACTTATGTATATAAGTAATTTTAACTTTTTATTTTCTTCATAAGTTCGTAATACAGCAGATTTCTACAGCAGCATCTAAACATCACGAGCGTTATCGATTGGTTATTCTTTGAGTTTTAAGAATTATTGAACAAACAAATTTCAATGTGTTTCAGCTAAATGTTAGCTTGTTTATCCTTGCCCGAACACCAACCGCCGCATAAATTTCCCAGAGGACATTTACGACGACGAGTCGACGGCTGCGATGCTCCGGGATGAGGTACGATTTGACTCTTTCCCTCAACATATATATTCATACATATACTTTGTTATGTGCCTACATTAGATCGGCATCGAAAGTCATTAGTTATCAAGGCGGGACCATTGGTTGTTCCTTGAGAACTGATTGTTTTTGCTAATTATCCCTGGCAGAAATTCTAAGCTACCGCGGCCTTTAGCTTTGCAATCATCAGCACCAGGATCGCTCCCCGTTATCATCACCATCAACGTCACTCAGTAATCTACCAGCGCCAATGGTGAACAGCTTGTCTAAGGTAGCCAACTCATGCTGAACGTATATCCGGTATTCTTTCGTTTGACTTTTTATGGGACATCTTTTTCTTTGGTCATCATTGAACAGACGGCGAGGCTCGCCATGATTATCGCCGGCATCAGCTCCTCCGGCAGCAGCCACGACGGCTACGATATTTGAAAGGTTCTCAAACCGAATGACAGTTGGCGAAGCGACCAACAAATGAAGGTCGTTTGCGGTAGAAATAATTTCGCCGGCGCTGCTTCACCGCGACTGTACAATACTTAAAGAAAACGAAATCCTAAATGTCTTACTGCGACGATCCACTGCTCATCATTAGTGTGCTACAGTAGACGCTGTGTTATTAACTGTGAGGTTACGAGGGCAACGTTGCCCCTATAGATAGAAAAAGAGACTTGGCTGTATAGTGATTATCATAATTGGTAATGTACGCGCCCAGCGGATAGTGGTGTGATGAAAGGCATAAAGTTGCTTCTTCTCCAATAGAACTTCTTTTCGTTGTTATCCGATGGTCGAACACTGAGTTTTTAGCCACTTCACGCCGACGATAAACTTCGGACTTTGGAACGGTCCAATCTAAGGCGCAGTTAACGGTTCAGTGGCTGCTCGAAGGGGAGATGTTGGCATCACGGACACGCACTGAGGCAAAATTCCATGCACCCCCGTAGATCGACATTGTGGATCGGCAATCTAATGAACTGAAAGGAGACAAAGCAATGGAAAGAAGTGTCTTTTTTCCTTCATCTCTTGAAGGTCGGCTTTTCGATTATTATTCAGTAGCGGATCTATCGTGGGATCATGACCGTTTCGTGTAGTCGAGTGGAAAAGCCCACGGGATGGAGTGGGCGGCAGCGTCGAAGACTTCTGAAGGATTTCGCTTCAAATCTGCTTTGGTACACGCAAATTGACGCGGTCCTATTCGTTAACAAATATAAAAGCCACTGTTGCTGTATTTCGTGTCTGTGGCTATTTGTTGTATAGTTCATCGACAGCTGAACTTCATGGATACAAATGCTAAGTTTTCTTAGTGAATACGTAAATAAATATGTAAAAGTATTGATTTTAATACCTAATCTGCTGCTAATTATAGACGAGTGCAGCGAGTTTTCTAAAATGATACTTTTTAGATAAATTATCGATAGTCATTATACTATTACAGCCAAGATAAAGGGTAATAATTGAGTTAACCAAGAGAAATTTTAGCTCCTCGTGAGCACATTTACATCATAGACCTTTTACGAAGTTCGTAATCTGTATGATCTTCAACGATAAACGTTGTTATAACATTATTTTTCAACCAGCCGCTTCAGTTTTAATGGACTACTATTCCAATGGCCAAATCGTTTATCGTTGTCCAATTTATCTGCGCAAGTGTCATGATTGACTTTATACTAACAGGTCACGATTTACTAATAGTGATTTTCGCATATGTAGGCGCCGTAACGCTTGAACGGGATGCAGTGGCGACTTTGGCCTGCTCGTTCGCCAGAAACAGTCTTAATAAGTCGAGGCCTTGAGAATGCTCAACCCATCAGCCGACCTATTCGAGTTAGGCAAGCCCTTCGGACAGAAAATATTGACTGAATAAATGGCCGAACTTTTGCCTCGAATTGTACCGCCAATCAACATTGCTTTAGACGGCTGGATACTTCCAATCATGTGTTTTGTTCGTTTTCGAACCTACATCGCCTTATCGGGTTCAGTAGGGAAACACGTTACCACTGTACCACCACGGAGTAAAGAGCACGATTTTATCGATCTGTAGTCGTGTTGGACCGCCTAGGGAAATAAGCAGATCATTGGCTAGCTAAAGCTCAGTTTTGATCAGGTAAGCCACGCATTGCGACGAGAGCTCGCATCAAGATAGCGAGCCCGCTCTGGCAAGCACTCGTTTTGCGCCCCCACAGAAGCCACGATCATAACTGGAATGATTAGCAAGACGGAAGCGGAAAGAGACGCGTTGCGATACAGGACACGGAAAGCTGTAGGATGGAAATATGCCACACAATGACCGGATCGGAAACTCTATAAACGAAATGGAAAATATGACTTGGTAGAGATTAACTGCAATATCGACACGGGGCGGTTTAGGTTCGAAACCGGGTGTAAACACGCTTCGTTCTATGCTCGTAGAGGCCAGCCGTCTAAAGCAGTGATTAACGGCAACACTGCCTGTAAAAACTCGAAGCATCTATAGAAAATTATTCTGTAGAAAATTATTATTAAAAGGTTATGTAGGGCTGGGGCATATGGCTGTGAAAAACTGATTTGTGCCAGGCAACATGCAGAATTAAAGACTTTAGAGCTAGAGACTAGCCATATGTGTTTACATTCAGGAACAGTTTATTGATCCCCGCTACCATGCTAGTACCGTTAGAGACAGCTGGTTTATAATGGTGTTCAGCATCTAATCCAGTTGCCTGTCTGCGCTAACGACGAAAAACGAGGCAAAAAATAAACCTAATATCGATATTCGTGTAGAATGCTCACTGCGTCGTTCGATAGCGGTAGAGGAATTGCATCAGCGACCAAGCAAGCGCTATAGTTATAATGCGTGTAATGTAATAATGAAAAATCGCGCTATACCAGTGATATTAGCGTTTAAAATATTAAGTTCAACGCGTTCCCGTTGCCCTGAACCAATTGCTTCATCCCTTTCTCTCGGTCTCCCTGTCTGCCCGCACCGCGCGCTATATCGAAGACATCCCCCAATGACTTTGCCCGACGGCTTTATAGAGGAAGCAAGCTTCTACGATATCAATCGTACACCTAACACTAAGGGTATGACAACGGGAAAGAATAGACAAAAGCATTTTGTTTCGAGAAACGGAATCTACTACGAGGTTGAAAACATCTTGTCAGTCAGTTCAACACCGCTACCACTATCGACCCGGGACCACTAGCCAGTGTGACCGATCGCTCCGCTGATGGCATCTGCAAGTGACGAATCATTGTAACCAAATGGATAAGCAACGGTTCTACGAGAGAGCTGCCTTCGAAGAATCCGCATGCTGAATGGGAAACAATTTGTTATTTTCAATAGTGCTGCATTTTCATTGACCTTCTCTATTGTAGGATCCCAATTCAGTGTCCCCTACACTGATAATGCGAATTCTGTCACGCTCTATCCAATACGTGCATGCGAATGAATGCCCGCGTAGCTACTGATACGTATATCCGTGTAGGGACGTGACGGTAACATTGACGGTGACAGCGTGTCTACGTTCAGACTGAACCACGCCTATCTAATTGATAATCTTACTCGACAGAAGCGAATGGGTTTAAAACTATTAGCCATAAAACTTAGCTATTTGACGCCAGATGCACAGTGGTACCAAATTCTTGCTCTCTAAATCGGACTGACGAAGGGGAGTGCGAGGTGATTGTCATATTTGGTGAGGTCCGCGATGGCAGCCACTCGTCGGAATTGAGCACGAGTCACGCAACGATAATAATATAATACTTCTACGTAACATAGGGATGAAAGCACGTTATCGGAACAAGAATGATGACTTTGAATCCTATATTAAATGAATACAATGAATGTCGAAAATACGTAAAACGTTAATTTCTTTACGTATATGTATAGATATTTATACTGTGAATAAACACAGAAGCTTACGTGCGTAATATCTGTTGCTAGACTACGATGACCGAGTCCCATGCCAATACCCATAGCGTAAGTACGTAAATACTGTGCATTAATAGTGTTGTTGCGTATATATAATAGGACACGGGATCTGTTTATCGCGTCGAATGGAAGTAAATAAGCTACAGCGCTCCGACGACGCTTGGTCGAGCCACGCCATAGAACATGGCCAAATAGTCTATGTAGCATCGATTCACTATTCACATTCGCAGCTGTATATATCACTTTCAGGTATCTTTAAGAAATAATATATATATATATATATATATATATATATATATATATATATATATATATATATATATGTATAATAAACACGAGATTTCCTTACAATTTTGCCGCAGACGCAGGCAGAATCGACCGGCTTAATTTTGTATAACATCTGAGCCATCCTTACACCGTCACGATGGGTTATCACGGCTTGCCACGGTGTCGATATTGATATTCGTGTAAATGTGCAGTTCTTCAATGGCAAAAAATAGTAATGTCAAGAGTTTAAATAGTTGCCCCACCGCACGCGATGACCGGCTGCTTTTCGCCCCCTAGTATAGCCATAGCGCTGACGATAGGCACATAACCTTTTGAACAGATCAAATCCTATCTGGATAATTGGCGTGTTTTTAGGTTAGGTTCGCCTATGCGTATGTGCAAATCACGCTGGTATTCTGAATGACGGCCGTAAATGCCGTTAGTTGCTGGCTCGATTGTCAATCAAACATTCTGCTGTTGGGCTACTGGTAGACAGATGAGGCTCAGCCAACAATTTTTGTGAGCTTATCTCAAATCAGGATCAATTTTACGATTATCCGCTAACCGTTAACGACGCTGGTAGCTTCGCCGTCTTGCCGTCGTTGCTACCTTAGAAAATTACACCGCGATCTGGGTTCGGGTGGGTCGACAACAATATCAAACGGAACCTTGCGTTTATCGCCAGGTTTATGGCGGAGACAACTAAAGTAGACACAACACAAGTACGAGCGCAAATTCAAATTCAAAATCTGCCAGCCAAAAATGCATAACGGGTCCTACTTTTGTTCCCCGTTTTCTTTCGATAGTACGCTGCGATGGTTAGAGATGAAGGCATTTCGTCACAGGAGGAGGAGGAGGAGGAGGAGGAGCTGCGTGGGGTATACGTATCGCTACGATGACACTCAATGGAAACGACGAATCAAACGTCCAAATCGTGGGATAACTTCTGCCGGATCTGCCACGTTGAAAAAATTTAATTGCGATTTTTTTCCTACGAGCCTTACGTTGGAACGGATCGTGAACTCAGAGTCGGTGCTAGATTATTATGGCCCGATTCGTGTCTGTAGCTATCCGTGTTCGACTTCGACAAGGAAATTCACCGTACTTTTAGGAAATTACGTCGTCCATAGCTTTGACGATTCCCTTGTCGATAAAATGGAAGTTATATTTAACTGAACCGGCCAGTTTAGACTATAACGGTTATATGATATAAGCATGGTACATTATGGATTTCCCACTCCAGAATGCCGAACACCCAGTGACAGCCAGAGCGAACCTGGCCGACGTACCGTAATGGCTTGCTTAATCTTTCACTTACGAATATATATATGATGTCTACTTGTATAACAACCGTTTTAATACTCGCTCTAGGAATACCAACGCGAAAAAGTTCGGCCCGTTTCGTGTCGACGCATAAGTGCGGCCGCTATCCGTAATTGCCATAGCGTGTTAACGAATGGCCAAATAGTATTTTTGTACAGAGGTACCGGTATGGGCCTACAAACAAATGCGCGCTTTTCGGTCTGTGCTTGCTTTACTAAAAGTAGCTGGTTGACGACGAATATACAGTGTATCTGAGAAATCAATGTGATATTTTTGTTACTTTGCTCAACGTAATTATTCTTTATGTGTTTTTCTCCGTTTAGCTAGAACGTTGCTGGGGGCTTCCAATCTTCGAGAGCATCAGGCCGGTGTGCAATACGCTGTGATTAGTATCCGGTCGCCTTTTACGGATGCCGCTTCCGAATGTCAAATGCAGTCGCATAAATATAGAATGCTATTATAGCGGACCACATTTCAAAATGTACACGACTGACGAGAACAAAAACGTTATCGTTCTCTTTTTTTTATTCAACTGATAACCATTAGTCGGCCACGCGAAAGCCGAAAGGGGGAAAGGTACGCGTTATGTTATTACATATATATTACGTAAACAAAATAAAAATACAGTGGCGAAACAATATATATATATATTGGTTGGATAGCGTGAGTTCATACGCGACAACGGTACTTTTTGCTTATCTCTTTTTGAATCTATTCAATTTCATAAGTATTCAGAAGCAGGGCTAAAATTTTAAGTACTTTAGTCGAAAAAACGATTCTTGTTACCGTTACACCGTTTAATTACGTATTCAGTTAGTTTGCTCACGAAGTTTTCGATGTCCCAGCGTACGCCACACGGCAGGCGCACAGAGAATGTATAATCGAAATTCAAATAAATTACATAGTATTTTGGTAATATATGATCGCATGTACTTCGGAGGATTTCCTTCTCGAAAGGACGATTAGCGTGAGAACGTTCATGTCAAAGTTGAGCAATGAACGGCCAGCTCATTCCGGGACCAACTGCAGCAAAACGTAGCATCAACGTATTGGCGCAGATCTCGCTCGCAGTCCTCGCCGAGTTCCGTAAGAAATGTGCTATGAATTACTGTACTATGAGCAAGTCTAGTCAATGAAGTAAGAATGGCTTTCTTCTCCCCGATAGTCTAATGTATAGTTGTTCGTTCAATTTTTAAAGTTGCGATCGGTACCCGACATGTCGTGGCGAGGAAACGTAAGTGAGAAGATAATCGTATGGAAAACTCGCTGAGTCCTATGCTGATTAAATCAATTCTGTCTGACTCAACATACAGATCAAGGCACGTGTCTCGGCAAAGCGCGTGTGAAGCGCCATAGTTTCTTTAGAATCATCCTGAAATAACTTCTATCTGTCAGCGTCCTTAAGCGATCTGGCGTTAGACAGAGGTAACAATGGTAGAGAAAAAGGACTAACGAAAAAAAGGTGCTGGTGTTTTTCAGTCGTGCAGATCGTATGATTTCGTATTTCAGATATGAGCGCCGATACAATCAAAACATATATACATATACATGTATATAAATTCCAGTTTGCGTTTTAAGGAACTGCCAAGTCAATATACATACGTTTTTGTTATAATTATTGGCTGACAAGCCATTTATGCTCCGTTTGGCCAAATCTCCCTATATTCGCGATATTTTGTTGTAGAGACAATGCAGTACGAGATCTAATGACACGCTAAGCGGAACTGAAAGAGAAAGTTCATAACAATAAGAGTAAAAATCACGATGGCCATAGAAGAAAGCCATTGTTTACTAGCTATATGGTAATGCAGTTTGCAAAAACGGGTCACAGTAAATCAACGATGGGGTATCTGTTAATTATTATTATCATTCTAAGCTAGGAGCATTATTTTTTATTGTATGTTCATGTCATGCTGCATGTGCACGATGGTTCGAATCGTGGCAAGATTTGCGTACTGATCGATGTGTCTTTACGCGCATTTAGGAATATGAAACCACACTGTTTTTTGAAACGGCCGAACGATGCTCTGCCGATCACAGTAATCAGTTTTTATCGGTCGGATTCGTGGAGTGAACATCGAGAATTGAGGAAAAGCTTAGACAGTTTGCTCGATGCATTGTTCAATGAATCAGTTAACTTCGATCGGTATTGGCTGACCAACATACTGTGTGCATTCACGATATACTAATGTGTGTCTTCAGTCCACGTCAATCTGTATCGAACAGTTATTCGAGAACATTGAGAGACAAACAGATCGCATCGATCTTCAGCCGTAAGCCAACGGCTTCTTCGCTCATATCGATTGCATGCTGACGCATTGAAAAGCGATGCTACTCATGAGCGATCATCGACACGAGTTAGCGAGTCCCGATTGATTTCATTTATCTACTCCGTTCGACGTAGACATACACCGTTTCCATGCTCTGCTGATCTTCATCTTAT